CTCTAGTGAGGACACAAGCCCTATGGCAAAAATATTTTTTTTTAAAAAAAAGATAGATTATGAATAGAGCCCACATGGACTCTAGCACTATAAAGTGAGTATAATATTTGGATATTTTCTAGTTTGCATGGTAAGAGAAGAAAATGTGGGGGGCACCAGCTGGCATAGTGGTTAAGGCGCTGGACTCCCACATGGCCAACCATGTATCGAGGCCTGGACCCAATAGCTTAAAACTAATGCCAGGCACATTTGTGTGCATGCCCAAAATCCAGAGGAAAATGGAAAAGAAGGTATTGAGACATGGCTATTTGCCCTGGGGAGAGATTTCTAACTTTCCCTCTCTGTCTTTCTATGGCAAAAGAGAGAGAGAGAGAGAGAAAATACCATGGGAAAATGCAATCTCTCTTTTTTTTTTTTTTTTTTTTTTTTTTGCTATAGGGCACATGTGCTCACCAGACAGACAGAGAGAGACAGAGAGATAGAAAGTGAGAAATCACCCCCCGGGGGGATGGCCACGCCGCAATCCCTTCTCCTCCATTCTCCTCTCGGGATCTTGGGCACTCATGCACACGTGCCCGGCGTGGGTTTTAAGTCACCGGGTCCAGGATGCAAACCGTGGTCGACTACATGGGAGTCCAGCAACATAGCCATTACACTAACTGCTGGTCCCGGGAAAATGCAATCTCTAAGTGATATTTATCCTAGAATTAACCAACTTAGGTTTGAGAGATTGTTCAAATTTAACTAGATAACTCTTATTTGTACTGAGTAGGTCCAGTTATGACATCAGGAAAATAGCTAATTCCCTTTTTTCCTGGGTATTCTTAGATAATTGAAAAGAAAAACATATACACAGGCTCATATATTCATTGCTACAAATTTGATCAATAAAAAAGCCTTCTATGGGACTAGCAGGTGGTGTGGTGGTTAAGGCGCTGGATACTCCCATATGGCCGACCACAGTTCGAGTCCTGGACTTGGTGGCTTGCTTTCTCACTTTCTCTCTCTCTCTTTATCTCTCTGTCTGACTCTCTCTGGTCAAATTAAAATAAATGAACAAATAAATACAATTAAGTAATTCTTTACAAAAAACCCTTCTAGATTTTACTTCTATTTTATTTCTAGAATTATTTTATAAACAATTAAGATAAGGACAGCTGCATCCAAATGCAACTATTTCCAAAAGGATATGAGGCACAAGGCTCAAAATTACTATAAAATGAGAATATCACTTCTAGCACCTCAGGCTGGTAGTTACTTATACCTTTTTTTTTCTTAATTAAAAAAAATTATTATTTTATTTAACTTTATTTATTTATGTTTTAATTTGACCAGAGAGGGACAGAGAAAGAGAGAGAGAGAGGGAGAGAAAGCAAGCCGCCAGGTCTGGGACTTGAACCGCGGTCGGCCATGTGGGAGTCCAGCCCCCTTAACTACCATGTTATCTGCTGGCCCCACTTATATACTTATTTTACTGTAATTATTTATACCTACTTATTGAAATCTGAGATATTCTTTATTTTTATTGTTTTGTTTTGTTGGTGGTGGTTTTTGTTTTTGTTTTGTTTTTTTTCCACAGGATGTGTGCTCTCCAGAGAGGGACAAAAAGAGAGGGAGAGGGAGAAAGTACCCCTTAATGGGGCATGGCCATGCCACAATCCCTTCTCCTTCCTTTCTCCATCTTGTCAGAATCTTGTCAGAATTTCGGGCAGACACCTATATGTGCCACCATGTTTTTCAAGTCACTGGGGCCAGGATTTGAACCATGTTAGTTTGACCATGTGGGATCTGACTTTTTTTTTTTTAAGAATTATTTTTTATTTAATTTTATTCATTGTCATTATTTTATTTATTTTTTATCATTTTGAAGTTGACCAGAGAGAGACAGAGAGAGAGAGAGAAGGAAAGTAAGAAAGCAAGTTGTCAGTTCTGGGACTCAAACCTCAGTCAGCCATGTGGGAATCTAGCTGCCTTAATCACCACACCACGTGCTGGCCCCAGGATCTGGCTCTTTTAACCACCATGACATGGGGCTGACCCCATTCTTTACTTTCATATCTACTGTCCAAATTCATGCAGCTAGAAATTTCATAGACTTCAACATGAACTTTGCATTTTCCACAATACCCTGCCAAGGATTCACTGATGTCCACAGCAAAATCACTGTAAGACCTGATTTCCTGTCATCACCAGCTTGTGTATTCAATAGCATTTTTCACTAGGTTTTGCTCTTTCCTGCCAGTATTGGGTAGTCAGATTTAATGAATAGGAATACAAGACTGGCTAGCTCTCTGGTGTAGTCATACTGTGCTGCTCAAGCAAAGCTGGATCCATATGGGAGACTGTGGGTTCCGTTCCCCCGTCACTGGATATATGTACCAGTGATCCTAGCTAGCTGGAAGGGTTGGGGAGGATCAGAGTGTGATACTCTGTTGGGAATACTTGTCTTTCCCTCTCTCTCTATCTCTTACTCCCATGAAAGAAAATCATTTTGAAACTTGAAAGAAAATATAAGACAATTAAATTTGAATTTCAGAAAAATAACAAATAACTTCTAAGTATAAACATGTCCCATTAAAGATCATGGGGGTTTTTTTTAGTATAAGTATGTCCCAAATATTGCATGAGACATATTTACATTAAAAAAAACTGTTCATTATCTGAAATTCACATTTTTTGCTTACTTATTTATGTCTTGCATGACTGAGAGAGACAACAACCCAACCATGATCCACCCCCAGTTTCCGCCAGTTGTGATCATGGGCACACCTCTGCCCGGCGTATTCAGGGAAGTCTCTGAATCAGGAACCTTCCCAAATAGGTCTACCTTGCAGAGCAACACATTTCCCATTGCAACCACTAGCTGAACTTCTCATTTAACTGCGGATCCTCTACTTTATTTAGCAACCTTACTAGTCAGTCCCACAAAGTTGCCAAGTGTTTCTGGGAGACCCCATTTTCCCAGATATGTCTGCCTAGCAATGGACACTATTGAAGCCCCATCGTATTCTAAGCACCCAGGCAGAAGGGCAGCTCTCACTACAGTGAGTGTGAATAACGGATTAGACTGGATGCTGATATCCTCCTCTGCAGTTCCGAGAATAAGGATAGCAGTTCCTCACGGGGAGAAAACAAAGGGTTTCATGTTGTCTCTGAACTTCCTAGTCTTTCAGAAAGCAGCTACATAGATGATATCCTTGATGTATACTCAGATTAGCTTAGCTTAAAAAGATAACTTAGCAATTTCCCAGGAATGTTTTTATTTCTACAGAAAAATATTGCTTTGAGATGCCAAACATAGATTATTGGAAAGTTACTAGACTAGAAAGCAGACCTGTGGACGTTGTTTAGCACCTAAGAGGCAACTCTGTCTATGAAACCCAAATTTATGTTTACAACATGTTTATGGATGAAAATTAAACACACAGTGAAGTTAAAAGGTGTACCTGCTCCTAGTAAAAGTTCTTTTTCTTAAAACCTGCTAGCTACATGTATATTATGTAGGAATAAAAGGAATGATCGCTTAGAATAAAGCAACTGAGTATTTATAATAAAATAATATTTTATGAGGCACTTATATGTTTATAATGTTAATAAACCACAACATACTGTATCAACATTTTTCCTTTTTTATTCCCCCATAGGGTGTGTGCATTTGCCATAGAGAGGAAGAAAAAAACAGAGAGAAAGTGAGAAATCACCCCCTAGGGATATACCTACACCACAATCCCTTATCCTCCATTCTCTCCGGACTTGGAGCAGGCATGCACACACACCCAATGTGCGTTTTAAGTTGCTGAGTCTGAGACTCGAACTGTGGTCAACTATGTGGGAGTTCAGTAGTGTAATCATTACACCATCTGCTGTCCCAAATTATTTGATTATTCTTATGAGATAGTTTCGTAATAAAAACGCTATAGAAATCACATAGATAAACATTTGTAAAGCTCCTACCGCCATTATGCCAGTATTAAAATGTGTTCTATCTTGCATCTTTTACTAATTTTTTAAGACAGATTTTATATTGTAACCATCTGAGAATCTGTAAATGCTTATCATAAATTGTGTAAGTGACTGCTTCCCATGTGCTTCCAGTGTTTACTTTGAGACCGAATGGCAACCAGAAAATGAAACAACCTAGGTGTTTCTGGTTATGTTTTTAAATAAAGATTTTTAAAATCTTTGTCTTTTTTATCCTTTTTTTGCTTAAGATGTAAGACATAGAAAAGTGTACAAAACATTTATATATATATTAACAAATTATAAAACAAAATTCATGTAACTACTAAGAAGTAAATATTTTAAGTATCTTCAGAAACCCTCCTGTCTCTCTCCCCTAACATAACTCCTTTCCATATTAAATAACAAGTGATTGGTTGTTGCAATAAACATTTCCTTGGTTCTATCCTCTTAAGTATGCATCCCTACATCTGTGCTTCATTTTGCTTACCTTTGAACTCTATAGAATCATATGGTATATGATCATTTCTGGCTTTTTCAATCGATATTTATTTTTAGAGCTGGCCAATAGCACAGCAGTTAGGTAATGCACAGAGGAAGCCAGA